ATAATAATAATAATAATAATAATAATAATAATAATATACAAACTGGCAGCCACCTGCACACCTATTTTTCACACCCTCAGAGATTGTCTTTTTATTCCCTTGCAGAGGATTGAGTGGAGGGCAGGGTAGGTTGTCACACTGTTATTATGGGTCTTTCTATATTGGTTTGCATTCACAGCATGTTCACTTTTGTGCTATAAATTATAATTAGAATAGCCCATTATTTCACCTGGCTGGTGTGCACTGCAGTCACATACATCAACGGATTGTTTCCTGCACTGTGCTTTGGAATATGGATCTTTAAAGATGCTGTGCTTACTGGCATACTTCCTCTGGTGACCTGAAAAACAAGTAATTAGCTGGATAAGCACTTTGCAACAAATGCCTATAGATGATGGCCTATGTTGTAAAGCTTGTTTTCTGTTAGTACTAAACAGTAAAAAAGAGCAAATTATAAAATGTTTAACTTTAGCTATAAAGTTTTTATAAACAGGATTTCTACTTAGAATTGTTCAAATCTTGTGTAACCACAAACACAGTACTATGTAGAATATGGCTCTGTCTTCCTAACTGCTTTAACTTTCCTTTCAAAGGTTCCAGTCCTCAATGTTATTAAGCAAAATATATCAGGATCACTGGGGGAAGTGTTGGAGAACCGGCTCTCTACTCTCTCCCAGCAAGCAAGAAGGATCACTGGTGTGCATAAATGTGTGTGAACTCCAAACCCCAAGCCACTTCACATGCCACTCTTGAGGTTGGAAAGGCTGTGTGCCCCTGCTTTAACATGAAATATGTTAAAGGAAACATGAAATATAATGCTTCTTATGTATTTAGAAGGTAGTGGAAATGTTTACCTACCTTAACAGAAAAATTGAATGGAGGTCCAATTTCATCAAAATTGTTCACCATGGAAGGAACAATAACACCAGAGTGTATTTCATATAAGTTCATACTGGTAAACCTGAACAGAAATAATGCCAATGTGTAATTAAAGAATGCTATATCAAACACATAATAAAAATGCCTATTTTATTTCTCTGGGTCCCCATCAATCTTCTTCTTGAATATTTTTTCCTTCATCAACCCTCTAACTTGGCCAGTCCAGTTCAATACTGATGAATTACTGTAACAGCTGTTGCCTAATTTATAATTACCTTGTCAAGTGAAGTTCTGCATCATAACGAAGTGGAACTGTTAGGTTGACCAGATTGTTTGACTCATCTTCTTCATTACTTGCACTGTATAAAATAAAAAGCATTGCTTCTTTAAAATATTTATATGGAATATCTGCATTTATAAACATGGCCTGATACTGTCACACATCTGGGAACTGTTTTGGGATGGATGTGACAAACAAGCTGAAATTAATCTAGGTATGGGTCTTAAGGGCTGAAAAATCTGATCTTGATGGCAGTATACAACTGATTCCAAACTAGGTTGTGCTCCTAAAGGCCAAGACACAGTTGCTCCTGGATTCTAGGGAAGTGCAGGTGTCATTAATAGCCAAGATTCCTTTTACTAGCACAGGCTCTTGCATAAAAAAGTGTTTCATCAGCACATAGCTGGGTTACCTTGATGCTAGATTATAACACACTATAAATTGCTGTGCCCTGGAAAATGAACTGGAAACTTCAATTGGTAGACAACAGCCTGAGCATTTGTAGGAGCTAGGCCTTCTGATCATGACATACCTATTCTGCACTAGTTACACTGGCTACCTCTCAATTTTCAGGCCCTGTTTAAGGGGCTGGTTCAAGCCTTTAAAGCCATAAAGTGTTCAGGATCAGTTTATTTTCAGGACTGCCTGCAAATCACATCAGCTTGTCTGAGCCTTGCTATTTGTTTCTGAAGCCATGGCGTTTGGTTCTCAGCAAAAGCTCTTAAGTGGAATACTAAGGACATGGCTTTTTTAGGGATGGCCTCATCAATCAGAAATTCTTTTCTCAGGGAAATATGAATGGCCTCCTTTATACTGTTCTTCAGAACCCTAATGTTCTTGGGATTCATTCTGAACCTTGTGGGAGTAGCTATCTTAAAAGGTGAGGTATTGAATCTAATAAATAACAATAAATAAATGCCCTATTGCTTTTAGCTGTGGTGTTGAAATTTCACATGACATACTGTACCTCACAGCATGAAAACTTAAAACTGCCAGGTTCTGCAGGCTTTTCAAATTAAAGTTAAAAATAACATCGAAAGATACCTGTGTACAACAGAGATGAAAGATGAAATTAAAACAAGCAAAGGCATCACAACTAATAATGAGTCTTTTCAGACATTATTGTATGATGTCTATGATATCATCACTGTGGCTCTTTTCCCTAAGTGTGAAGCCATTTCTAACCTTCCCTCAAAGCCTCACCGTGCATATACCACCATGGCCATCTGATTCTGTTCCTTTAAATTCTTCATCTGGTCTATTCCTGGTAGTCTGCAAGGCCTTGTCAGGGATATATTACATCCCTTACCCTACCTCAGGAGGGTCTGGACATATAACTCCAATGCTGCTCCACTTGGACCGGCTGTGTGGTGCTGTTTTTGATGTATGAAGCTTTAACATTTGCACCTGTGCCAGCATAAACATACTGGTACACTATGTATGTATATAAGGACCTTGCCCAAGTTCCTCCTTGGAGGGAGGTTCACAAAGCAGAACAATGGAGAGGGCCTTCTTGGTGGTAGCTCTCCAGTTATGGAATGATCTTGACAAGGCCTGCCGGGTGTCAACGTTGTTAAATTTGTGGCACCGGGGGAAGACCTTTGCCTCTCAGGTAGGTATGCATGTATGTATTCAATTTCTGTACTGCCCCATAGCCAAAGCTCTCTAGGCAGTTTACAACAATCCATAAAAACAGCACAATAAAATACAATACAAATACCATAAAATCTAAGCAGCATTAAAAATGTAGAACAGCTGAATCATACTGCAAAAAATGATCCTGTACAAAGAAAAACACCTGTAAGCACCTCAGTAGCCATGTGATTCTTTTAAAAGACTCAGCATAAAGGGCTGTCTTAACTTTGTGTTGAAAATATCACAAGTTTGGCAGTGTATGATTAATTTCTTAATCAATTCTTGATTTTCTTTTCTTGTTGATGGTTTAAAACTGTTTTTAGAGGTCTCTTTCTCTCACTCGCTTTCTCCTTCCTAGGAGGTGGGCAGAACTGATGGGAAGGGCTGCCTCCAATTATATTAACCTACCATTCACTTATATCAAGGGTTAGACCTCAGGCTTGCTCTACTGAACAGGCTGCAGAGAAATGCTTTGCTCAGGCTCTCTTGGGTTCCCGGATTCAAGATCCAGGGCATATGCTTATACTAGACCAGTGGTGGGGAACCTATGGCACACGTGGCCCAGCGGGCACACAGAGCCCTCTCTGTTGGCACGCAAGCCAAGTCATCCCAGCATCGCCCCAGCAGCTGAGCATCGCATAACAGCACACACAGAGGCCATGCGCATGCTCAGAAAGGAGTAGCGGCGCCAAGCTAAAGTCGCGATGACGTCACGAGCCATGACTCATTAGCCGCGACTCGTCCGAGCTATTGCATGGCCGGTAAGTGCGCTGCCAAGGAAATAGAGAGAGAGAGATATGCATGCTTGGACTGGCTGTGAGTTGTTTTTTCTAAGCTAAAACCTGTTTTCAGGTTTTATAGTAGTGTTGGCAGTTTGCAATAAATAAGTGGGTTTTGGGTTGCAGTTTGGGCACTCGGTCTCTAAAAGGTTTGCCATCACTGTACTAGACCATTGCTTAAACTGATTAAGTTGAGTATAATTTGTCATAAAATGATGGAAGAATCCAACACTGTCCAACTATTTTCCATTGTGCTAGTGAAAACTAACACTTGGGCATCCACTGTAACAGGTGCAGAACAATGAGTTTCTTGGGAAATGCACTACAGATGCACTGCTAATGTTGATTTCTGCAGTGCCAGTAATGTCTGCAGTTTAACAGCCTAGGTTCTTTCCCTACAGGGCAAGCTGGACCTGCTGTTATTCTCGTCCTTGGCTTTTGCATGGAATATTAACCCCAGGGGCCTGGTCCAACCAAGGCACCTCACTTTCAGGTCCAAGGATATTCAGGATGAATGAAACACACTTACATCAAAGATGGTATACAGTTAATGGAATACAATGGTGAAAGAATACAGATACAGAATATAACCAAGCAAAAGACAGCTTGCACTCCCCTTATCTGTGGCTGTGTCAGTTCCCTGAATAAACCAACGGATGCTGAGTGGGCTCCCAAAACGGCCTGGCCATGCATTGTTTCAGTTCCTCTCCGCACGCCAAGAACAAGGCAACGCCTCTTGCTACAGATTTTATGAAATTCCCCTCTCCCTGTTTCAGAGGCTTTCTGTTTATGCACAGGCTTTAGCCCTCATTCCTGGGCTAAAGACAGTGCAGGGCTGCAAAGCTGCTTCCTTAAAGGAAACAATTTTGATTTTCAAAAGCAGCACTCATCTAAGGAATACACTTAGGGAATGAAGCTCCAGAACAGCATCTTGGATGCTCTTTCTAAAAAGACTTTAAGGCCTTGGCATGGCTTCAAAATCCATCCTGGCTTTTAGACACTGGGAATGTTCACCCCTCCACCTGTTGAATCTAAACAACCTCCTTGTTATTCTACTAGTGCAGCCCAACCAATGCAGATGGCTAATTACATTTAACAAACAGCCAGCAGGGTGGGAATCCAAGGTAACTCAGGACTGTGCAGTAGGGGGAAGGGCCCTTAACCCTTTGCCCTCGCAGGGAATGCAGTCCAAATCAGCATCCCCCACAGCTACCGTCTGCTCTCACTGATGTTAGTTTCATCCTGTGCTGAAGGAACTGGCACCAGAGGTGGTGAGAGCCTTTATTCACACATCATCCAACATGTGCAAGATGCTGTGCATCAAACAGTATCTGCTGTTTCCTCTCGCAACATGGATACCCAGCCAGCAATGGAAGTGAATTTGGAAAGATAAGGTGGCCTGGGATATTTGTCTATACCAGGAGAGCTACAATATTCACATTTGAAGTCAATCCTGATGGCTGCTCCAAAATCATTAAACAGGAACTAAGATGTACCTGTTGTCTTCTTTTAAAAACAGGATAGCTGACTCGACAGACAACAAAATGTGTGATCGCAGTCATCTGACATGAAACTTCAGATCCATCCACCTAAACATAAATTTCAGACATATCTCAGCATTCAACTGCTGCATGAAAGTAACAAAAGCTACATTGTTATCTTAAAGTTCATGTGACGTGAATGTGTTAGGGATGGTCCTAAGTGTCCCTTTGGTTCAGATAGGGAATTGTCAACTTTGGCAAATCTTTGCATCTGCCTCAAGAGTCACAAGAGTGCTTGCTTAGTATACATGGAAAAAGAGAAAGTATTGCAATGATGAAAACTTGTGTAAGGTTTGATCACTTGTCCAATCTCAGCAGAACAAAACAGCCCCCATTATGGAACTCCTAATCGCAGCTCTTCATTTTTGTCAATGGACTGAACACACTGCAGCTGCTGCCAATGGGACATGCCCTGGTTTGAGCAGAAGCATATTTTTCATGATTAGATTTCTGCTTCTGTTCCCATCCACAGGAATAAGTTCCATTAACTTGCATGAAATAAGTGGAAGAGATTTCTGCAAGTGCCCTTATGGCAGCAGAGGTTCCACATGAGACATGCCTCATGGATTGCAGCTGGTGCGTGAGATCCAGAGCTCCTCTGCAAATGGAAGGGCTCCTTTCCTTTGGGGAAGGGGCCAAGATAAAGCTGGAGGAAGCAATTTGCACCAGTTCTCCTTGCAGCCCCAGCACCCGCTCTGCACTCTCCCAGAGAGGATCCTCTAGCTCTGGAGCCAGAGGCCAAAGGGGAACATCAACAAAAGCCACTTCTCTACTGCTAAAGTTCTGCTCATGGATAGTCCCAATGACAACATTATTTTTAATTATCTGCTCTGCTGATGTGTGCTGCACAACCAAGCAGCATCCCCCTGAGCACAGTATTAGTATTGAGCAGTGTTTCTAAACATTGCCAACTGAGGACTGGATTGCCAAGGCAAAATATAAAGGTGGTGGTGGTGGTGGTGGTGGGGAACTATAATAGTTCCTTTTCTCATTATGTGTTGAGTTGGCAGGCTTCTTCCTGTCCCGCAAAACAGTGCTACTAGACTTAGGCTGCAATCCTAAACATGATAGTAGGAAATCAGTCCTGTTGAACTCAGTGGGAATCACTTCTGAATACATATGCTTGGACATGCACTTCATAGTACTGGATTTTATGTTAACAGAGAGCATTAGGCAGTTTCAATACTGTAGGAAATAGTTTCACAATAATGATAAGATTGTTAGTGTAAATCCCAACCGAGCAGAAGTTTGGGCACATGTATTCTTCTAAAAATAAAAAGGGCAATTTTTGAGAAGAAAAAAAATCTGGTTTGTGTCTTCTTTGAGACCCAAAATAATAGCATACTAATGACAGCAGTAATAATGGAGATAAACATTACACATACAGGTGGAGCAGACGATGCAAAAAACAAGTTTTTAGAAAAAGCTATCTGAATCCTGGTATTGTATGCATTTTCATTGTTGTTTTTCAATTTCACACCGAATATCAATCTTTTGTTCTTACTGCTGACGATAAAGCGTCCTTCACTGTTAACAGGAAAAACAAAGAACGGAAACATGATATTAATACAGTCTATGTTTTAACTCTAGTCTACTGTGGTCTATATGAGAAACAAGAGACAGGGACACAATTCAGCAGACACTTAAGCATGCTCAAATCTTGCTGGAATCAGCATGTCTTCACAGCACTTATTCCCAGCAGAGTGGCTGTATGAGGCATATTTTACAGAAACTTCTGTATGTAAAGTGTACCCTTTTACACACACTGCTGAAGGGCCATGTGCTCAAGAATAGCACTTGCAATTATTCACTTTCTGTAACAGGAACCATAACTGCAAAACCTCACTGCAGAAGCAGTATGCCTGTGTATAGCAGCTGCTAGGGAACTTGGGTGCAAGGCATCTGGTGCACTCACATCCAGCTTATGAAATCCATCTTGGTAAAGCCAAATGGCAGGAAGCAAAGCGGTATTTACACAACCAAAGGAGAACGTATGGAAAAGAACTGGATGTGATGATGGGAACAGTCTTACCCATGATTTTTCTGCTGAACCTCAAGATCAAGGTCAGTATTGCAAACTTCATCTTCACCACAGTCTTTAACAAATGGTACCTGTAAAATACACAACAGCAACAGCTTCCAACTTCTTTCGTTAAGGTAAATGCATCATTTACTAAAGCATTTATGGATACACGGAGATCCAATGCGGCCAGCACAGTGGTTAGAATGTTGGACTGGGACTCAGATCCAGGTTCTAGTCTCCACTTGGCCATGAAACTCACTGGCTTTGGGCCAGTCTCTGACTCTCACCTGACCTGCCTCACAGAGTTGGTATGAGGATAAAATGGAGAGGAAAATTCTGTAAGCCACCTTGGGCTCCTTGCCAGAAAATGGCAAGATATAAATATAATGCACAAGTCCTACCAGGATGCAGGGCAGGCGACCTTTGCTGCATTGCCCTTCCTGTTCTGCAAAGGAGCCAAATGGGCAATTTTGGTCAGCTAAGTGCAGTGTTTCGAAAAGGGAGCACAGAAGCTGAGGTGTCATCAGGATATGACATGTCTTGGCACCACCAGTCTGCTCCCCTTCCTGCCCCCGAGGAAGCCTTTCTTCAGGGTTGCTCTTATGAACTCAGGGAAGCAGCTGGCACAACTCTTTCCTAGATGGCTGCAAGAATCAGCACAGATTCCCACTTTGAAACTCCCCACTGGAATGGCTTGGAAGTAAGCCCCCACCCCAACTTGGGTAATAAGCCAGCTTACTTCCAAGCCAATTTGAATTCCCCAGTACAGTCTATGGAGAGTTCAACATCTCTATTCATTTCAACAGGGAGATGAAAAGAGATGGCAGTCCTGAAATTGCTGGGTGAGATCAAATAGCAACAGACCTCTGAAGACCCTTTTATATCCAGTGCTCTTCAGTGGCGACTTGGTGCTGAGCAGGTATTCACCTTCCTAGGAACCTTTTGGGGATTGGCTGAGTGGATGGGTAGCTTAGTTTATAATTCAAGTTGGAAAATAATCTGGCGCTTTGAGTCCCAAAGGCTTGTTTCCAAGCCCCAGCCCTACAAACTCCCTCATTTTCTGTATTCAGGAAGCCTGCTTTTGCCCATGTGACCAAATTCTACCTTTCTTTCTCTGCTGATAGAACTGAGGTCCTTCAAACCAGTACCACTGAAGCAATGTCTCGGTAAGGGCAGAACAGCAGCTGGTTTTTTGCCATTACTGGGGCGCTCACACTGTTCATGTGGCAACTTATTTATGACCCAGAAAGAGGAATGTGCACTAATATACTTACACTGTAAGTAACAGATGCAGGAGAGGTTATATCAAGAACAGGACTTGAATTCGGATTCCTGAGCTTAATATCAACTCGAATGCTAAGGGAGTCAACAGCATCAGAAGGCTCCTATAACACAGACACAGGGACCTGGTGATTAATGCTTCTCATTTGTAATAGATACATAGTTATTTCCTCAGTTTGCTTGTCATCCAATGATCCAAGTGATTTGATCCTCTGAAAATAATATTGATACAATTATATAATATAATATGCCTGCTTCTGAGGATGCAGATAGGTTAGCTTTGCAAATAAGGACTGCCCCTCCCTGACAGAAGAAAGGGCTATTTCCACTTGCATTTACCCACCTGATAGCCAACACTGGACACTAAACCTAGCACACAGGTTTGCCATTTGGCTTTCCCCCAGTCATGATCTGTTTCTGTACCAACATTGTGATAAATAAATATGTGTGCACGGGTGGTGGGGAGAAGGGGAATGGAGGTGTTTGTTTTCTTTTGCTTGTTTTTTTATCTTATAGTAAACTACCTCTGAGATTTGTTTCAAGGCAAAGCAGTATATAAATATTGCTAATAAATAATAAAATGATATTTACTGCTGTTTTATTATTTATGACTTTTAACATCTTATTAATTTAATGGAATAATTGTTGAATTTAACATCTTTGGATATTTTTCCTGCAGAATAAAAATATTTTACAAAAGGGTGAACGTTAAAACTAAGGTTCAGGTTCAGGAAATGACTTGCAGATCTAGCATGCAGCTTACCATTCCATCAAAGTTATATTCTTGTTTAGAAAGAGAAATAACATTTAGGCTTAGGGGTCAAAAAGCCAGTGAAATAGTAAAGCTATTACTGGACTGAATCATTTGGAAACTCTCATTATTGACTGTTCCCCCACGCAAACAACAACAAGTAAGTCACTGTACAAAGAAAACTAGACAGTTAGTTGGGAAAAGGTCCCCGGGTTAGCCTTCTCCTAACATAGATATTTTCTGGAAGTGTTCAGTTTAGTGGGCTCCAGTCCAACCTGCGGTTCATATTTGTACAATCCAGTCACAAGTTTATCATCATATCTACAATCTGCAAGAACTAGCTGCAAGGATACATTGCTCTTTACATGCATAATAATACCATAATGCTTGGAACTGTTGACTAATGTTTACCTGAACATTAAAAGCATGCGCCACACACTTGTCCATGGGGTGCACGCTGATACTATTCTGAAGAGATCTCTCACTGTTTTCTTTAAATACTCCTCTAGAGGTCACCCGAGAGGACAAGAGATCAGCATCCAATGTAAGGTTGTATATGATATCTAAAGGGAGAAAATGGTGCAAATGTTATGAGAGTCATAGTGTTACAGGTCTGCAAAATGTACAGAACATCATGGGTAGCAAATCATATTATAGTTCTGGCTGCAATCCTACAAATGCTTAGCAGGGAAGAAAGTTAATGCAACACAATAGGATTTTCTTCTAAGCAAGCACTGCCGTGCATCAAACTTCAGTTCCTCAACTGCAAATATTTTTTTCCAACCTGCAAATCCTATGGATGAAAGCAATATGCTATAGTGGTCAAATGACAGAGCTGTTGCATAGCAGTTTGCATCTTCATAATTTGTCTACAACAGCAAGGGCTGGTCAGTTTGTGGAATGGGGAAATCCTAAAAACCAGGTAAATTCACACATACAAATTCTGCACTCAGTAATATACTGCAGGACATGCTCTGTGAGCATACAGTAGAGAAAGACAAGCAGTTTTGCACTTGGAACTCCCCAAAACATTTAATTCATTATTATTTATTCTTCTACAAGTTTGCATCCAAATGTTTTGGAGGAAGTCCTTGAGCGAAGTAATAGAACTAGATAATTTCCCTATTATCAATTAAGCAGTACCAGTCCAAAGGAAACAAAATAGTGAAAACACTTACCCACTTGATTATTCCGATGGGTAGGTCTAAAGGTTGCACTGAAACATACTTGGAGAACAACTTCTGTATTCTTGTTTAGCAGGCTGATCTTCTTAGGTGTTGATGAGACATGTATTGAGACAGTTGCTATAGCCTGAGACCTAAAATACAAGCAGAAAGATTTGCCTGAAAACTCAGTTACACTAAAATGAAGATTCCTTCTGGGTGTATAGAATTTACACCAATAATCTTAAAACAAAGGTGACTTGGGCTGCTATCTTGCATAGGCTTACTAGGGAGTATGTGCCACTGAATACAGAATGACTAACTGAGCAAACATATATTGGACGGTATGGGCAGCTTCAGGCAAACAGAGTATTCAGTGGTCAAAAAAACAGGAAGTTTAAAAACAGAATTAGGGCCATCTCTTGTTGCCTCAAGCTCTGCAAAGCAGAACATTGGAAGCACAGGCTCTTGTCTTTAAGATACATCCAATGATGCCACATATCATGTTTGCTTACAACTGACCCTTCAGGCACCCACACTTTTCCTTAGACTTCAGGTCCAAATTCAGATGGGGCAGATGGAATGCCAGGGACCAGCAAAGATGCCCATATTTTCTTGGTCTTCTATCATTTTATGAAGCCCATGAAATTTATTATTTTGCTAGAAGAAACCTCTTGCAATTTTGTTAGATGCACCTTCTAGTCATCTAGCAACAGGCAAGGGGAAGGCTGAAACATCTTCAGGATACCTCATATCCTGGATGAGGATATCCCAGTCTCTTCCTCTCCCTGTCCCTCAAAATGTCCCCCTTTAACTTCTAAGTTTCTTTCTCCAGGTTTGGGCCACATCTGGTCCCATTCTTTCTGCACAGACCACAAGGAGCAGAGCTCTGATTCCCAGCTCTGAGGTTAGACCAGGGTCTCCAGCCTTGAAGCTGGGAATCTGAGCTACCCTGTGGCCTCTCAAACAATGTTCAAAAGCCACAGGATTGTTCCTTAAGAGGATATAATGATTACTTTCATGTCACTGTTCAGCATCAGTTGGCTCACTGAGCCCCTGAGTATACAGTGTCAGCAGGCCAGGATTCATCTTGATTGCAGGTTGCACTGGTACAAAGGTAACAACCAGCTCACCATTTAAATGGGATGCTGAAGGTTTGACTTATCACCATACCCACAGTCAACATCATCAATCATTCTGCCATTTATTAAAAATCCTCTACTTACCAAAACTGAATCACCTTCCCGTTAGAGCCCACAGATACATCAGTTATTCCATCACCGTTCAAATCATTGCGGCCATCTATTGTCCTTCCAAAATACTGGAGTGGCTGGCCAAATGCAGGATCTGATCCTGAAATTCTCTGGAAAGAGAGCTTGTTTACAGTGTTTGATTGTGTTTCCAAAGAAATTCACTTTGGTCATGGTGTGTTGTCTGATGGTGTTGCCAAACAGAGAATCAGGATCACCATCGGTAGCTCATTCCCTCCCTTTCCCTCAGTTCTCCTATGGGAATCTGAGAGGCACTCATGACCTACAGGAAGGGACAAAAAGCAGCGGGGCAACAGTGATAAGGGGGGAGCAGCACCGTTTTCCCTTTTCTTGCTTTGGCTTGCCCAAGAGTTGTTCCCAAGCCAGAGTGAACTTTGTGTGTTTTGGGTTGTGAATGCCTTTCTGGTGAGCCAGAGTGAGAAAAGGGGGTAGAGGTGGGGATCCACTGCAGAATGGAGCCCCTAATTAGGCACTGTCTAGCTGTTTCTTGCCCCTGCCACTGATTCATGTGCATGCACAGGAATGTTGCTCCGGCACATGCAAAAGGACAGAGGGAGAATCAATTGAACAGCACTGTTGCTTTCCACAATGCTTCCCAGCATATTTTGTCCCCATGCGCTCCTGTTCAAGCATCTCCTCCCAAGCAGGAAGGGAGGATGTCTGACCAGCTTCCTGTCTCAGAACATAACCTGTTTGTCCATTAGAAACTGCTTGAGAGCTGCAGCAACCTAAACACAGCTCGTGAGGAGCTGAGTCAAATTTAGGAGCTTCATTTCTCCTCACAGTGTCTCCTGGAAGACTGAGAGGGAAGGAAATGGCAGCTGGGGGAAGAGTTACCACACTAAGCCTGAGTATTTTTCAGGCACATCCTCACAAAAAACCACACACAGTGGAAACTGTGCAGTATTGCTTGTCATGATGTACAAACTTGGCTAGAAAGTGAACAGTAAAACAATAACTCACTAAAAGTTATTGGGGACAAGTGGCTGGAGAGCAGCACTTGTGAAAAGGATCTTGAGGTGCTGGTTGACTGCAGGCTAAACATGAGTCAGCAGTGTGATGTGGTAGTCAAGAGGGCAAATGCCACCCTTGGTTGCATAGCCAGAAATGTGGCTTCTAGAGAAGTATTACTACCACTCTATATGACTCTGGTGTGCCCACAACTGGAGTATTGTGTTTAGGTTTGGGCCCCTCATTACAGGAAGGATATAGCCAGGTTAGAATCAGTGTAGCGTAGGGCCACAAGGTTGGTGGCTGGTTTGCAGGGGAAGCCGTATGGGGTGAGACTGAGGGAACTGGGTCTTTTGAGCCTGGAAGAGACTCAGAGGGGATCTGTTGGCGACATATAGGTGTGTAGAGACCTGTTCTCCCCTGCAGAGGACGGCAGGATGCCATTCAATGGAGCGAAGCTCAGGGAACCAAGGTTCAACTTAGATGCCAGGAAGTACTTCCTGACAGTTAGGACCCCAAGGGTATGGAATGGGCTTCCATGGGAGGTGCTTGAGGCCCCATTGGTGAGGGTGTTCAAGGATATGGTGGGCATGTCATGAGCAGAGCCGGTTCGAGCTGGGGGTCAGACTAGATGGCTCAGGAGGCCTCTTCTGACTCACTCTGTTTCTATGTTTCTAAAAGCTAAATAAAAAACCAAGCAGGCAAAGCAGAAATAAAATTAATTAGCAACTGGTTAGGCACCCCGGCTATGCGCTCCCTAGAAAGGTCTGCTTGATGCCATCATTATAAGCTTTTTGGCACCAGGTCAAGACCTTTTTATTCACCCAATATTTTAATGTTTAATAGTTTTAATCATCTTTTATTACAGTTGTGGGTTATTTTAGTTTTATTATTGTTTGGGATATTTATATGCTGCATTGACTGTATTGATTGTTATCCATCCAGAGATCCAGAGTGATGGATGGGTTAAAAATATCGCAAATAAGTAAATAATAAATAAGCTAATGTCAAAGGCAGAGAGAAACAGAAAAGGCGAAACAGAGAGGCCTGAACTTGCTTATGCAGGCACTAGAAGGCACGCACACAAAGACAGTCTGTGCCCCGGTGCACCAAAATTCTTGGAAAAGCCCTTGGCTCCCAGAGAGGCTAATCTGGCCTCTGATTACAGCAGCGCATGAAGCAGGGCCTGCTCATCTGAATTATGCAGTGCAATGACAGAAAACAATCCAAAAGAAATGCAGGATGCCAGCCTGCCAAAGGGAAGGGATGATAAAAGAGAAATGGGCAAACATGGAGTGCTCAAGTTGGCTGAGCTTCTCCATATTCATCCCCACAGCTTGATTCACCTTGTTTGCATTCCTAAAAGTGTTTTTTTTTTTTGTAACCAAGAAACTGCATTCCGAAAAAGGGAAAATGTGCGTTTTAAAATATTTGCACTCAAAATAGGCACTTATCTCCCATAGGCTAATATGGGAAAATACAGATTTGGGGGAGAAATGCACAGGATTTTTTCCCAAGAATCCTGCGCCTACTTGTGTTCAGGTTTGCCAACAGGCCATATTTCATGATTTGTGAAAATGAATAAAATTGTCACATACCACTATGAGAGAATAACCAGGTAATGAACCTGGGCAAAGCTCTCAATCACTCAGATCAGGGAACAAGTAACTGGTCCTTGATCAACAGCATTCTGACAAAGATACATACCTGCGAATACTTGGTCTGTATCGTCCTCTGATTGCCATTGTAAATGTAGATAGCACCAGCATTCTGGTTTTCTAAAGGCGATCCCACTATCACATCGTTAAAGCCATCCAAATCAATATCTGAGACAGCTGTGATAGCAGACCCAAAGCGAGCATTTTCTAGCCCTTCAGGACCCTCCAGAAGTTCTTGTTTGCCCAAAATACCCTTAGGGAAGAAAGGAAGAGACGGAAGAAGAGAAAAGGAGGAGAAAAGAGCTGTGTTAAACACAGTAGACAAAAATTCTTCTTTTTTTTTTTAGTATGATTCTTTGAAACAGGAATGGGATCTCCAAGTTTTTAAAAGGGGGAAAATTAGCTGCGGAAATACATATTTCCTTGATTTTTGCTGTGTGAACTATACAGGAAGCAAAAAAACAAAAAAAACAAAAACAAACCAGCTTAGAAACAACTATGAAAACTTTTCTGCTAAGCATCTCAGGATTTCTTACCTGCCCACACATGCTCGCATTACTATTACTGTTCTCTGCATAAAAATTACAGTTGCTCTATGGTTGCTTAAGGTGGTTTGCAAGAATTGAAAAAACAAGAATAAAGCTACAGGCTTTACACGTCATGCTCGGCACTTGGACTTTATGCACTTAACAGGAAAACAATTTGCTAGCGTTTACATTTGTGGATCTCATCTCATTTTGGCTCACTTCCTAGGCTAAGGTGGAAAAGTCTAGGGGGTGCAAGAGAGCCTCGTGCAGCTTCTCATCATAGCCTGTTGTAACTAAATGTTCCAAAATATGTATTAAAATCCACTGAGAGAAAGCTTTTTTATGCTGCTTTAAAGTTTGTAGGCCAAGCTACTGTTATGCCAATCAAATTTCAATACATCAAGCCTCGCTATGCAAATTTTAATTTTTTCTGCAGCAACGCATGACAATAAATGTTATATTAGCTGTGCTAGCTGAAACATGAAATCCGTTCCTGGGGGAAAACATTCAGTCAAATGAAGGTCTTTTAGTATGTGGCATTTGCCTAGCTTGAGACAGTTTTGCTTGGGGTCAAAAATAACCCCTTTTGCAACAAATGCAAGGTTTGATAATGATGCAAGATAAAGGTTAAATTATATTACCAATACACTACAGAATCTAATATAGCTTTAACACTTGGTTTTCAAATACATCTCCTGTGTATTATGTATTGATTATATTTAAAGATTAAATACTTAGGAAAATGTCACAGCTTAGAGGTCATGTGTTGGAATATTTCACTTACCCTTCTTACAGAAAACATGTAGACTTTTCCTTCTTCTTTTTTGAAGCCATTCATGAACATAGGTGCACCAACCAACAACACATCTGTTACCGAGTCTCTATTAATATCCACTGAACATATTACACTGCCAAAGTAGGAGCCAATCTGAAACGAGGGGAACATTTTTATCTGACAATGCATATGAACACCCACTGTGGTCATGCATTCTCATTAGATCTGTGCAAACAGCATGAACTTTACGCATACAAAATCCATCACTGGCAGTCAAGAACACTCAATATAGAACATTTCACTTGCCTGCTCTCCTCTTTGTGAATGAATAATAGTTACGTTGCCATGGACATCAACCTCATAAACCACCACTCTTCCAGTGTAGTTGGACCGTGGAGCGCCAGCAACAAAATAGACCATATTTTCCATTGAGAGAACAGCCATTGAATAACCTGGATGACAAAGCTGAGGTTATTGTTTTCAAGGAACAATAATATGTTTGTCCAGTAAGACAACTGTGCAAAGCAAGTGGCTCACAGAATAAGGTTGGTTGCTTGTTTATTCTGGCCAGGGATGGGATCAGCTGTAGTTGCAACAGTGGAGTGTTTGGGGCATGGAATGATCCAAGCTATCCACAGCTCACGAAAGAGAGGGAAAAGGCAACACAAAAAACAAAAACACTGTTGGGGCAGCAATACAACAGGAAAAAGTAATAATTTCATAAAATACAGATCGGAAAACACAAGATCATAAAACAACAATTTGTGAGATTAAAAAATTCCAGCACAAAAATAATCAAGAAGAATAGAAGCAGATAAGTAAGAAATGTACAACACAAAAAGCACCTGATTTTTTAAAACTTGCAATATTACTGGGCTAATTAGGGCACAGTCCTATGGGGTTATGAAACTTGGGGGATGATGAGCATCCTATGCTTGTCTCCTTTTCTTCCCTCTCCCTGAAACGCCTTCTTCAACCCCTCCCCAGGGCCAGATCACTTTCCCAACCTCAGAGAGCAGCTGGTGCAGTTCTTTCCACACCTACTGGAATGGGAAAGGGGTCAGAGCTCCAATTCCCAAGCCTGAGCTTAGAGCACTGCCTCCAGTCCCAGAGCTGGTAATGCAAAATATCCTCTGGCCCCAAAGGCCCTTTCCAGAGGCCATAGGGTTCGTTCCTTAGTCAACCAGTTAATAGATTAGTGACCAACTAAACTGCCCCCCCAGATATTCTTTACATTTCTAACTTCTCCTATCTAGTAAACTGTTCCCAGATACAAATATATCTCATAAAATGGTCTGGAAAGATTATCTTTAATTATATTTACTCAGCATAATGTTTCTGCATTTCAACAGTTCTAAACAGGAATGTGATTCTGTGCTCAGATGAATTTGATAAGTATTTCACTAAGTCATTTGAACTGCCACCCTCACCTAAATAGGACGTCTGATTTCCATCTTGCAAAACCTTTTGAAATGATTGATACGGAAATATGATATCTTGCTTTTCTGTCTGCTGGATCACAGTCCCATTCCATCCATATGCCCCAACGGCACCCAACAACAGAACTTTCTTTGGAGAAAACAATATCAAGGCAAACAGGAATTAAAACATAATCAGGTTTTGATTTAGGTCCATGATTTTTTTATGACATGAGGGAAAACACTACAAAGGTGAAAAATTCGCTGTGAATTCTCTTTTTGATGATAAAAACCAATTCATATATTTCAACAGAAACAGAAAAATTCACTTTGATAGGGTCATGGCTTATGGAGATAGACCCTGCTCATCCAGCAAAGCCAAGGGGGATTTATTTATTTATTATTTTAAAAATTGAATACCATTCACTCAGCTATGTCGGCTCTCTGAATGGTCTACATTCTGTAAAATAACAAGCGTAATACAATACATGAAAACAAAATGACAAGCAACAAAACATTCCAATTAAACAACAAGTAAAGCTAAACAAAACAGTTTGGAACATAATTAAACAAGTAATAAATACTAAGACCCAATAAAACTGAATAAAAACAAAACCAGAACAGCAAGATGGGGATTTTAATGTAGTGCATCTAAGCAGCACCAGTTTGGAAAAACTAGTCACTCTAGTCTACATTTATTTGAACAGACAAAAGTTTTCAAGCTGGTATTTCTCTCAGTACAGCACCTGGGGAATACACACTCTGCCACTGAACTATCTGCCCTGTCTTAGGACCTTCACTTCATGCTGCCCTGCTAAAACCTATATAGAGGATTCACACAGGCAGTCTACACTAGATATTTTTCCCTGCATAAAACTTGGCTTTCTGTAGGGATTTTGTAGGCATTGTACCTTGAGATAGCTCAGATTATACCCAGCCGAAGGAATCTTTTGCAATTCTGTATCCTTCTAAAGATGTCTTCTTCATATCAAAAGTATAGCTGTGTATGCATATTATTTATTGCTATAACGTGCATTGTAGTAGTAAACGGGTGCAGCTTCGCATGGGTTGGGATGGCCCTTCCTATGAACAGTGAAACTGTCACTCAGACTTACACAGCTGACAAGGGAGGAACACATTATACCTGCCCCATCCAAGTGAAGTCATGCCCATGGGCACACCTAGACACGGCCACTAGGGTCCACCCATTAGGGACGTGCTGAGCCTCCCTGAAACCTAGTTTGTGCCTTCTCGGCAGACTTCTTCTGGTGCTTGTCCCTTTCGAAGGAAGCAAGCTGAGCCCAGCAGAAGCCTGTGAGTATTTGTGGACATGCAGTTCCCCAGCAATAATTTCTGGCAGCCCACCTCCATCCTTCACGCTGCCACCACTGCCAATGGTGACACATGGGGAAAAGAGGAACGGTGCGCAGGTGTGCTGGCCCTCATTCCAGCAGCCAGCCTCCTTCCTCATGCACTGCCACTGGTGAAGACACATGGGAAAGGGGGAGCAAAAAGTCAGCACCCAGCCACCATCCCACCCTTGTGCAGCACATGGGGGTTGATTCCAGATCAGCACCCCACAAACTTGGGCACAGCACAATGAACTTGGACTCTGGGCCGCTGCAAAGTGAACCTGAGTCTGGGAACCAAAAACCAGGGAATCTGGCCCATTTTCCACCCAAAACAGATTCCTCACATATCCCTACTATCCATTCCATTTTCCTGAAGTGGGGCTGCTGCACAGCAGGTGGTAGAAGAAACAGGCCTATAGTTCTGTCCCTTAACCTACTAATGTCCCCTAACTATATGGCCTACGTATATGTGCCCATTAGGGGAGTTAGTTGCTGAAGGTATTACTGTAAGCTTCAACCAAAAGGACACTTCAAAATTAAGCAAAATAAACTTATGAGCTTAAAAACAAGATAAACCCAAGGTGCATAGCCAAGGGTCCCAAGCTTCAGGCACCTAGATTTTATGGTTTTATGGTATGATTTCCTATTATGACATTGAAGGATAGACAGCTGAATAAACAGAAAAATAGCCTCTGTTACTAGTACAGATAATATATTACTCAACATTATCAAGTTGGCATTATAAGCCAATATTCCATCACGTTACAATACACTTGTTACCTTTTCCTGTGAGTAAGAAGCACTGAAACCCACTTGTGACATTTCCAGCCTGAATGACTCGCCTTGAGCAGTGCCTGGCAGGAAATAAAACCAAGTGGTTATTCACATCAACACCTCAGATGATAAGATGTTATTTGCAAGTAGTTGTGGTGATTCAGTGGGACTGGCTTTCAAATTATGATTGAGAACAAAAAGCCCTTTGTTAACTCACCAATATCAGAAGTTCAGTATCTATAAAAATGTTCAGCAATAGCTGTGAGTGATGGTGTTTTTCATCTTGATAAGCAAGCATACCCAAGAGCCAGGTGGCATCATATTCCAAGGAAGGCAGATCCATAAACCCCAAAGGCACTTTAAAAAGTGTGTTTATGGCTTCTAGAGTGGCTACAGAGTACCAATTAATCAACATTGACTTGTTTGAAAGCCAGCTTCAAAACCCAGGGTGGTCTGGTGGTGAGTGTTGGACTAGTGACCTGGGAGATGGGGTCTAGTCCCTGCTCAGCCATGAAGCTTGCTGGGTGACTTTGGACCAGTCACAGACTCTCAGTGTAACCAACCTCACAAAGCTGCTATGAGGATGAAAAAGGAATGAAGGAGAACTATGTGAACTGCCTTAGGCTCTTTTCAGAAGGAAAAAAGGCAGGATGAAGATGAAGTGTAATAATAATGTATACCCTTCTGGTGTTTGGTGATCATTGCAAATGCTTCTCACCCTTCTCAGACTGCCTGCTGCCCATCCCAGTTGTATCTTAAAGCACAGTCATTTCTTTATAATACTTTGGCTTTGCTTAATATAATAAAATGAAATAATTACATGGGCTACAATAAAATGCATCCATAAAACAATATTTAAACAAAGCAAGGTCAGAGTCAGGGAGCACCTGTGTCAACAAAAGCATTTTAAAAAGGTATTTGAAGTTTGCTACTTTATTGCTGGAGAAGACTCCTGCAAGTCCGTTGGACTGCAAGGCAATCAAACCAGTCAGTCCTAGACGGGATCAACCCTGACTGCTCTTTAGAAGGCCAGATACTGGAGATGAAACTCAAGTACTTTGGCCACCTAATGAGAAGGAAGGACTCCCTGGAGAAGAGCCTGATGCTGGGAACAATAGATGGCAAAAGAAGAAGGGGACAGCAGAGAATGAGGTGACTGGATGGAGTCACTGAAGCAGTTGGCGTGAGCTTGGGTGGACTCTGGGGGACAGTGGAGGACAGTGGAGGACCGGAAGGCCTGGAGGAATGTTGTCCATGGGGTCGCAATGGATCAGACATGACTTCGCGAATAACAACAACAACAATAACCCATGTATGGGAGCAGATGTGGCCAATTTCTCCACTGCACCTGAAGGCAGCAGATCAGGAGAGGTAAGAGGGTATGTGGCAAGCCACATCGCACACAGCTTTCTCCTTCTGCCTGCTGGCATCTCCTGCTGGAGGCAACCTCGTCACTCTGCTTCATGGTAGGGCTGGCTCTCCTGGCAGCCAAGTTAGGTTTCCCAATGTGCATCTGGGGCTGTGTAGAAAACAACTAGAGCAAATGTCTCTTGCACGTGTGCTGAATGTAGATTCTGTCAGATAGTGCTACAACATAAATGAAACCTTGGGCTGAAGGAATGTGTGCATGGATCAAACTCCTGACTGTGGCAAGAGAGATGCAGATAATCATTCTGAAGACCTGCTGCATGGGAGCAGGAGAAGGAAAGCCAAGACTTAATTGTCTGTTTTCTGTCATTACAGATGGAATGCCCGCCAGCAAGATTTTGTTTATTTATGACATTTCTGCATTGCTCCAGAGCTGAAAATGTGGACAGTGTTCAATTAATGTGGAGGAACCAGGACTTGTGGGAGAGCAAATTTCTCTTGCTGTCTGCCCTGAAGAACCTCTTCTGTGTAGAAGAAGCAAAGAAAGTTGTGTGTTTTATTCAATGGAAAGCGAAAGACACTCTGCAGGTGTGCAGCAGTAGTTTTGCTATATTTTTCTAGTCCTAGAAGAAATCATTGCTGGTGCAACCCAGGGCACTATTGGTTGACCTCCATACAGATTTATTTGAAACTCTACCCTTTTCAAAAATAGCCAGATCTATTTGAAACTCTATCCTTTTCAAAAATAGCCAGTGGAGCAAAAGAGAGGGCGGGATGGCTGTGCTGGGAAACAAAGTCCAAGGATTCTTGGAAGCACAGAATAAGTTGCATGATTCTAAGGATCTTGGTGAATAGATTAAGGATATGTGTTGAGTAAAGTCTTTGAGTCTGGCACACTTAATAGGTGGTCATCCCAGGAAGGGCAGCCAAAAACTAAAAGAATTACATTGAGACAAAGCTGAGTTGTAAAACTGGCCACAACTTTATAGGTTACAGTTTGGGGGTTGACACGGCATGCATAGTGGAGGCCGATGGCTCCAATGCAGCTTCAGTGTGTTACCCACTCTGTTTATAGAATGAAGTTTAAGGATGATATCCATGGTGCTGAACAAATCAGCATCATGGATAGGTCCTTTAAGGTTCAGCCTGCACTCAGAGTGGATAAATTGCTCCACTGCCATTGCAACCACCATTTGATATGGGTTGGATGTTCTCATAAACCTACTGACCAATCCACACTCCAGGCAGAGTTCTGGGTGGCTCTGAAAGATGGGGAGGTTTAGGCCAGAGCATGGGATTGACCCCAGAATGCCATGCACTGCTTCCATGTTGTCCCCTGTTCCCCTGGGAGCAGGTCAGGCATCCCAGCTCCAAGGCTGGGTTGCAGGCCGCTGCTCGAACCTCAAGATGACTTCCATTCTCATTGGTGAATAGGGCATGCACGTTTTACCCCCTTGATCCAGCTCAATGCCATCCCTGCTGCAGTGGTCATGATGACACTTAATAACTGAATCAACTTATGTTGAAGAAGGTGCAAACCCTGTGGACAAGTCAATAGTCGCTAGGTAAAATTCCTCCCCATCTGTATCAGCCAGTAGCTGATTGCAGTTCATTTCCATAAGCGCCTTACTCACAGGGATGTGGATTGGGTGAGTGTGCAGTGGCTCTGAGAAAGGGGGAAGGAGGAAAGGGCTGAACCATTGCCCCTAATACAGCTGTAGAGTGGACCAAAGGGAAGATTCCCCTGCACCCACAGATCTGCAGCCTGTGCCCCCATGAGGACCCAACCACACTACAGATTGAACCATGGAGAAATGGGTGCACTCTGTTTGGCTGGGCCCTGCCCCACCCTCAGCATCACAAGTAGATGGCTTAGATGGTAGATCAGAAAGCCTCCCTTTGCGGCCTGGCACCGCAACTGCACTGCAAGATCTTCCAGGTAAGATAAGCTCTTTGTCCACCGGTTCCATTCTTTTCCCAAGGGATTCTCAATTTCCCACCACCAACACCACCATCACCACATACAAACCTGCCATTAGGGGGGTTTGCCTTTTGCAGTATAGAAAGCAAATGGTGGAATTAGGTAGTGAGATTTTGTTCACTGCTGAAGCTTAAAAAGAATGTATCAAGCACTTGTGTGATAAAATGAGTAAACAGAAACATTTCTAATATTTTAAAATCATGCTAGGAAATCAGTGATACCCTACTGAAATACTTTATTTCATCCCCAACCCTAGCTTTATTTGGTACCTTCTATGCTGAAAATTCGTTCTCTCAGAGTTCCTGCTTCTTCTAAGAGTGCTTTTTCAGAAGACACATTAAAGAAATACTTTAATTTGGGATCACTAGCAATTGCTTTGATTTCTTCGATTAATTTTGTAGTATCCGCTCCAGTTCTAATTAAATGTCCTAATACCTGGAAAAAGAGAACACCATGCTTACTTTAATAAGAATGGAACAGAGAAACCTGTAGTTGCATGACACATAAAATGTGTTCTGTGCTTGTTATACAATGCTCAACACCACAATCTTCCCTAGCAACAAGTAAGGTGGGGTTGACTGATTTGCAAAGGACCCATGATAAGTCTGACTGATTATTTGGCTTATTCTGGGCATTTTGCCTTTAAAAAGATGGTAGGAAGCTGCTGACTCTTTCCAAGCCCACAAAAGGTTGAGACAGAAGAGAAAAGTTGCTCCCACATGGAGAACAAAGAGGGAAATCATGGAAAGAGAAGGACCTTCCAGCAGCGAACAGCCAAAACAAATTTGAGGGGAAGTAAGGCACACATTGTCCCTGCTGAGGCTGCAAGATGCTCTGTAGCTCTTCAGGGGCTACTGTTTAAGAGGTATCTTTTGGTGCCCATTTGCAGACACAGACACAAAGTTAAAAATACTGGACAGCCATGAAAGCCCGTCGAAGGTGCTAGTGGGGACTTGGAAGAAGCACTTTGTGGTGGCTCATTAAGATCATGATCATGAGCTCTCTAGCTGATGTTTATGATCTTAAAAAATGTTTAAAGGAACATCTCTCAATCACCAGCCAAATTTAGCCGGAAATACAGCAAGAAGAATAGACAACCTCTGACAGTGATTCTCAAGTTCCTTTTGAGGTAAGGTAATGGCAGTCACACAAAGGTCACTCGGACAGAGCAAAATGTTGTTTAAAAATGTAATTTCTTGCTGCTCTTTCAATGTAGCTCCCTCACTGTTGAGTCTCACCCACAGTGAGTTGTATTTTCTGGCTTCAGATATCTTGACAAGCCACCTCAGGTAACAACAAACTTAGAACAGTCCATGGGTGTTGCTGAGTGGCTTGTCTGAAAAAACAAACCACCCTTGGTGAAGTGGCCCCTGTCTGCATACCACAAACCCCATCTATGATAACAAAATGTGGTGGGTGGTTGCATTATCCAAACCATGTCACTGTTTCTGTTTCCCCCTAGTGCTTTACACAATTAAGTTTCTTAACACCTTTTAGATCAAGTGGCAAAGGTAAAAAAAATAAGTTTGCTTGCTGCCATTGCCAAGCTTGACAACCCAATGAGAGTGCAAGTTTTTTATTTATATCTATATCTATATCTATATCTATATCTATATCTATATATCACTGGAAGAAAGTGAGCTTTTAAGGTCTACACAACAAAATGATGTACACAGAGGGACATATGAGTAATGTTTGATGTAGAAATCAATGAAAACAGCACCAGTGTCAAAACATATGTAATAAAAAGAGTGGCTAAACAAATTTTACCATCTTTGCCCTGAGATGCATAGCATAAATATACGGGAGTAGAAAGAGGACAATGCAAGGGAAAGATGCTTCCCCCTTTTAAAAATGTGTTTTCCTGTTGTGGTTAAAATCAGGCTGTTGCTACGTTATAAACTGATGTGGCTACAATTATGCTGTCAACACTAGTAGATAACTACAGAGAGAAACATTTATTTATTTATTTTATTTAAAACATTTCTATGCTGCCCCCATCGCAACAAAGCCTCGGGGCGGCTCACAACATGTGAAATTTCTTTCTAGAACTTGTATCCTCTGGATACTTCAGCTTGTAACTCTAGCCAGTTCTAGCCAGCAAATTCGATTGCAAGGGATAGTGAGAGTTGCTGGCCAAAGTATCTGGCAGACCACATGTTTCCCACCCCTCCCACAGATTCAGGTGAATGTGGAAAACCACATTCAGCACCTTCGTATATGACAGGAAAACAGAACCATGGGGCTGAACTGAGTTTTATCCCCTCCCTGCCTCATGCCAAGAGGCACAGGGTTCCGATCTTCTCTCATCACAGAAAAAGGAATTCAACTAGTGAGCCCCTCCCAGTGGGGAGCAGATCACAGGGGATCTTGGATCCCACTCTTGGATCTCAGGATGGAAGCCCCAGACCAACTCCTGGAGAAACCTAAGAAGCTCCATGGGGACAAGTCTGACACCTCGCAGGAAACGGTATCCGGAGGCCTACTGTCACTGATATTTCAATCTCCTGATAAGGTATGTATTCAGTAAAGCAAGGCCAGCTAAAATGACAGTCCTAATAATGAAAAGCTTACTTACCGCAATACCAAATCTAGTGATATTGTCCTCTTTGCACTTAGTTATGACTTCTTGCAATCTTGAGCCATCGTGCGATTCACCATCTGTCACAACAACCATGACTTTGGAGGCTGTTGCCCGCCCACCAGCTGCTTTTGAGAAAGCGTTGCGTCTGAAACGAACAGCGTGTTCCATTGACGAGCCACAAACACTGATTTTAATGCACGTTTTCATCAGTACTGCTACTCCCAGCAAAGTGAGGAAAATGAACAATCTGACTGCAGAATTCCTAGCTGATGACATGAAGCACTCGGAATATGTTAACATTCAAAGTACTATTCAAACATGGTTTTAATTTATCTTCACATAAAGAATTAGGGGAGGGCAGTGATCGGGTGTTTCTGCTGTCATTTGTAATAAGAATAAATGATTACTTCTGCTGGTGTGATTTACCTGGCATACTCAATTGCTTTGAATGTATTGGTTTGGTCTCCTCCATTTTGCCTGGTTTTTGACATTGCTTGTACAACATCTTCTTTATTTCTGTATGTATTCAGGTTAAACACTACTCGTGGGTCATTACCATACTGTATTAAGCCTAGCTAAAATTTGAAAAAAGAAAAAGAATTATTATTATACTATAGCTATATTCATCAATGTGAAATTCTCAGAAAGCTGCATGATAGGTTAGTTCCTGAACAGAAGGGTAGACGGCATGGAGGGCTGCAGAAGTTAGTACTGAAGAAAACGCAATGCCCCATATTGTGAAAGCTGATGGGCTAGTGCACTGGCCCAGAATGCCACAACATGCTTTGGCCTGAAGACATGGGCAGGATGTGACCACTAGATTCAACTCAATTAGTGCTTCAAGAAGAAAACCATATAGCTGCTGCTTCTATAAGAAACATTAGAACACAAGACAGGTTTAAATTACCCAAGGCCTTATTACACACAAGGCAGGTTTAAATTATCCTAGAGATCTCTTCTCATTTTGTACATCTTTTAGATTTAAGGTTAAATTTATATTTATTTTTTTCCTGAAAGGAACCCAAGGCATCTTACATAATCTTCCTTCTCTCTATTTAACCTCACAACAGCCCTCTGAGGTAGGTTAGGCTGAGATTGAGTGACTGGACCAAGGTCACCCAGAGTGCTTCATGGCTGAGTGGGGACTAGAACCCAGATTTCCCAAGTCAAAACACTAACCACATCATCATCATCGTCGTCGTATTATTATTAACAAATAACATTTAAATACTGCATTTAACTCATGTGAAAGAACTTATAATTAATGCACACATGCAGACTGATTATTAGATATCTTGTTACGTGCCAGCGAGTCATCCTCAGCTTATGGCAACACTATGAATGAAGGCCCTCTAAAGCACCCTGACCTTCACAGCCTTGCTCAGATCTTGGGAACTCAGGGCTACGGCTTCCTTTATGAAATCAATCCATCTCATAGTTGGTCGTTCTCTTTTTCCTCAGCTTTCACCTTTCTCTAGCATGGTTGTCTTTTCCAGTGAGCCTTCCTTTCTCTTGATGCCCCCAAGAGCTGGCACCAAGCAAGTTCAAAGTGTAAAGATTATCAGTGAACATTTGTTGACTTCATATCACACAACAACATAAGCTGTCTTGTTACTGCTGAAACATCTTTTATATATGAAGCATGGTAAGAAAATTTCCAGACTGCATTATTCTTTATCATGATGTTCTTCAGCTGTCACACTAACCCAGGACTCTCATAACCAAGGGGCACACCAGGATAATAGTAAGCCATTGTTTTGCTGGAAGAAAAGCATGCAGGAGAATGGAAAGGACCCTCTATTGCTACTGTTTCAACCCCACAGCAAGACTCAGATCACTGGCCATCTAGCCCAGGATGATCAACACTGACTGCCAACAACTCTCCACAGGCTCAGGGAGGTGGTTTTCCTGTCCTGCCAGGAGATGCCAGAGACGGATCAGGGTCCTTCTGTACGCCAAACACCAAGCTACAGTCCTCCCACCCACTACATTACTTGCATACAGAGTGGACACCTAGAGCTATTTTGGCGGCTGAGGCTCGGCTCTTGCTTTGTTTCTTTTGTTTCCACTTCTCAAGTTTAGACTAGGGGGAAAAACGGTAAAACAATACAGTTTTTTCTACAAAAATGGACTGAAGCATTCTGGGGTCAATCCTTGACAAAAAATAAATATTGTTTAATCCACTCACCTGTGTTTTTGTAGGGCCTATATCTAAACCTTGGGCAAATTTTTTCAAAAATGCCTGTACATCTTCCCAAGGATAAATACTGTTGGACTCATCACATACCACCACCATATCTACGGCTGGAGAACATTCTGCAAAAGAAAAGATAGAAGGCTTGTTTGATGTCATTTTCATGCCCCCACTGTGAACATTAATATTCAAAAGACAATCACAGAGTTATAGTAGGGGAGAAACAAAGTGAGATTTGTTCTTTCCAGATGATGAACTCCCACCCCTGAGTTTGCAGTACATTCAGAGATGCAACTATTTAGAAGTTTGCAGGCCTGGGGCCAAAAGCACTTTCAAAAAGCTGCCAAGCGCACTGCATACTAGCTCACAACCACAATGGACATGCCAGCTAAAGCAGAATTAATTACTGTTTGAGCAGCCACAACTCTGCCACAATTTAGGGTAAAAAGGCATGGGTCATGCATAAATTAAGCATCCATTACAATGGAAAGACTCAAGACACAACCCTGTGCTCCAGGATGCCCGCAGTGCTTGCAGGCTTCTGAGCATGGAAGCTTATGAGCATCTCATGAGGAGGCCATGCAGGTGACCTCCACCTGTTGTGCAAGACAGCTGATTACAGCCATCTTGTTGCAGTCCTTCAGATGGGGAGCCTAGAGCTCTGACACAGTATCCTGTACCCTGGCAACCAGCTCCTTCCTTCCCCTAGCTCCTGTCCTCTTTCTCTGAGGTCACCTTTTTGGTCTCAGAGAAACAGCTGGAGCAGTTTTCCCCCAGGCAGGCTCTGTGTGTTGTGTGGGGGTGGCAATCAAGCATGGAGTCCCATCTCTGAGGCCAACACTCTGTTTTCAACCTCAGATTTGGCAACTCACAGTATCTCAGGGCCACAGAACTGCTCTTGAGTTCATTAGCTTTGGGTATATTGCTTCTGTCTGGTTTTCAAAGGTTGACACATGTCTTACTGAATCTTGTCTGCCTTCACTGCCTTACTTTGCACAGCAGGTGAAAAACTTCTCAGGAACTGGAACCTTTGATTAAACTCAGAACAGATTCCTGTCGCGTAGTACTGGCTTCCACACTGTTGTGCCCACAAAGGACCACATGTCTTTGAAATCAAAACACAAAGAAGAAGAAGATTATTTTTGAAAACCACTTTAAGGCAGAATCTGACTTGTTACATCTGAGCTCATGACCCATAAACTATCCATGATTTGTTAACCAGTGAAAAGTTACCAAAAATGGTAGCTTGCTGACTTACAAGGTCTAGCTTGTCTTAACCCCAGTTCTTTATTATATAGGACAGCAGAGCTGTGTCTTACTCCTAGCTTCTCTATACACTTATCTGCCTTGAAACAGAGGATCCCAGTAAGAGTGGTCAGAAAATGAATGCTCTAAAGGTTGGGAAAATGGGTGGAGGAAAACAAAACCGGAAATAGGGAAATAATCTTGTCTGCAAGCATTTCAGCATTTGTTTCCTTGACTAAAATTCATGGCTAAATTTTCAAACTATGTTTAACATAAACCACAGCTTAGTGCCATGTACAAATGCAGCCACTGCATTGGGTGGTACGTTCTGCAATGTCTCATTATAATGCTGGACTATGCGCACAAATGCCTTCATGTTCCCCCATGAGAAAGCTGTGACATATACAAGCAAGTAGGGCTAATTATAGGGCCAGGGTCAGCCATTGTGGAAGGTCTGAAGGCTATTTTTTAAAAGGGTTGCAAGCTAATTCTGACTTCTTAGTGTCTACAGTGTTTTATTTGACACTATTCTCCCCATGCATTCTTTTTAACAAAATCTGGACAGCAGTGGGGGCAGTGGAATTACATGCAGTGACTTTTCCAACTGTATAGCTTTCGTAGGTTCCAGAAAATGCAAAAACTGGGTGTGAGGCCATGGGAATCTGCTGATGGTTCCACGTTCACTAAGTTCAGTTACATACCAGACTGGGACTACACTTCTTTGCACATGGCCAGAGGGCTCATTAATTATTGCAATACATGGGCAGCATCATTTGTAGTACTGTCTGCACTGGTTCTGGGACATCCCTTGGCTACACTGGTCTCTGACATGGCACTTCACATCCTTGAATTCAGCACCACAGGCACTGTGAATTCAAATTATTCAAATTATCTTTCCTAATCCAGGTGAACAAAAGCAAAGTTCCTGAAGGATGTCCAGCAGCAATGGAGAGTCTAACTAAAACCCCATACAGGCAGCAGAAAAAGGCAGGAAGTTTCACGAATGCTTTCATACATCCCAAGTCCCTTTCAAAGCAAAGAGGCTGTCTGAAGAAGCTCGGCCTCCATCCTCCACCCTAATCTTTTAAATGTGGCCTGGAAGTGGCCAGCAGATGGCATCACTCTTGTGAGTTTATAACACCATCGTCTGTATGACTTCTATTAACTATATTATTTCATTAGTGTCAGTCATAAACAACTGTAACTACTGAAGATGCTGATCAATTGTTACCACAGTTCTCTATATCAAATCTATAGTAAGAAAAATGCTAAATTATTAAGGGAGGCAGGAATCCTTCAAAGTTATATTCTTCTATAGTTCTCACTAGGAGAGAACTAGTGTAACTAGTAACATTTAAACAGTTCCTTCTTTCCTGAATTTTGATAGTTTGACAAAAATGTCCTGCTTCTTTTCTTCAAAAGGAAGTTAATTTTTATTTTTTATTTTCTATTTTTATTATTAACAGATCACTGAGACTGCGAGTGTAAACGCATCCCGAAGCCTCATTGCACAGGAAGGGGCTTGCTTCTTAGTAGACACACTTGGTGCAGCACAGTTACAAGGCAATCCTTCACATGTTAAGCTGGTCAAACAGCAACATACAAATAAATATTGCTCCGTTCACACTCTTCTGTGCAAGGTGATAAATGCTCGTGCGTGAATGTGCGAATTCAGACATTTTCCCTTCTTGCTAGAAATGGACTGGATAAATTTCCTTCACTGTCAATCAGTTTTCTCCTCTATACACAGAATAAAAGAAGAGAGTTTACTTGTGCCCTGTTGCCATCACCTTGACCATCTAAGCAGGTCCAAGCCAGGTACACTTATAATATTGGATTATGAATACTTAAATTTATATTTAATCTATTTTCTTTACTGGTAACTATTTTGCTTTCTTCCTTTCCTGGTTTAGTAAAATCTTTTAAATTTGGATTTTGTGAGTACGGCTACACACTTAGAACACTGCAAAGGATAATACCCAGTGCATTGATCTAAGCCTAAGGAAAGGCAAGGGAACATGAGCTGCAGCTTTGCATCGCAAGGTCTGTAAAATTCAACTGGCTGGCCAGTCGCTGGCTTCCCATGCAGAAGAACAAAGAAGAAAGGACAGCAAAGGGTTGTGTGCTGCACTCAGACCTGCTTTGCAGGGTTGGTGTAGCTCCTTTCCCCACAATTAAAAAAATATTTTTAAAAGCTGGCAGAAAAGGCAGCAACAGCATGAAATGGGGAGACAATATAGGTCCAAAAAGTAAATTGTTGCAGACACGTGCACTGCCAGGCTGAGTGGCGCACCTTCCTTCCTGGGTGATTCTGGTTGCAAAGGCACATGCCGTAGGCAGTTGGCTGGGGGAAGGATTATGGAACACAGAACTCAGAGGTTTATCAAAAGGCCCTTTTGCACACATGGATTATATATCATGCCACAGACCTAACTGCGGTGGGAAGGGAAGAGTATCTTAAGTGTTCCAAACATCTTCAAAGCCTTTTCTTGTTTTCCTGCCTCATTAGCACATCAGCAAATTCCCTTTTCATACTGTTCACATCCTGCATTTTAAAGATCTTTATTGCGACATACATAATGATTCAATGCATCTGCTTTTTGTAGTTCCCCTAGATGCTGTATTACAGCTTTAGATGCATCTCTATAGCATAAGAAACATTACCCATAATGCAAGAAAGTCATAAGGGACTACTCTTTGTTGCATCTGCAGTATGGAAACTCAAAATATTGGATGTGCTTTTCAAGACTATTCAAACAACATGCACTAAAAGGTTTCTCAGGAGGCAATTTCAGACTGTGTTATCAACAAGCACAGAAAATGCTTCTAAAGAGCTGCAAAAGTGAACACAACTTTAACGGTTCACAGATTTTGTACCTAAACATTACATACAACATTACATACACATCAAAAAATTAATTCCATTTTGCAGTTTTATTTATTTCATTTTTCTATTGCCCAGTAGTTGAGGCTGCCTGAGGCGATGGCCTTAAGTGTAGGTGATGGCCTTAAGATCCCTCTTCACTCTGCTAGGCCCAGCCAGAAACAAGCATCCAAACTGTGGAAGCGACATTGCAAGCAACCACAGAAAACAAGATGGTGCTAGCAGTTCCTGGGATGGGACTGGACCTCGCTACAGCTGTCAAGGAGGAAAAGGTAGCAAGAGATGGTGTTTAAACTTCAAGATATGGTTGATAATAAGGAACAACCTCATTAATTAGCTACTGCTCGAGAAGCTGGAGGTAAGGATATGAGCTAAGGCTACTTCATATGTGCTAAGGAATCGGTGGGTGCCAGAAGCAAGAAGTCCTCTCCCCACATCCTCTCCCCCACCCTTCCAGTTCTTACTGACTGCTAGTTTGTCCCTGGAAAGATATGCCAGCTAGCCTGTGAAACGCACCCTGATCCGAAAAGGAACCAAGGAAAGAATTTTTGCTACATAAAAATACACAAACACAAAGCAAAGCTATTTAAAAGTAAAATGCCTACTTATTGCAATTTGTTTATCCCGTACCCCATTGGGTTAAGCAATACCACATAAAGCACACAGAAAAGCTTATGATTTATATTTTATACTTTTATTTATTTTATATTGTTAATTTTAATTTTATATTGTTATTTTTGTATTTTATTGTGTTTGTAAGCCGCCCTGAGGCTTTGGCAAGGGGCGGCATAGAAATGTTCTAATAAAAATAATAATGATGATGATGATGATGATGATGATGATTTCATCATCAACTTGGGAGGAATCTTACACTTTTATTACTAATATGATTAGCACTTACCAAAAATCCTCCTGTTATTGAGTTTCTTGCTAGGGTTAATCCTAGATTCATTTCCTTCTTTATCTCAGTAACATTTGGAATGCTTGCGAAAGCTGAAAGACAGTGTAAATTCCAGCAATGATTGAAGGTATTGTTTTTAACATAAAAATTCTAAGTAGCTTGCAGATATTTCCTACCTATGTCCTATTTCATCCCCTAAATGCAACAAGTGTGCCCTCTTAATAAGCATCTGAATTTGCCCTTAGTAATCTACATTTACCAAGTTACTTTTCCTTGGAAATTCCTCTGAGAAATGAGTTTCCACGGAAACTTATTTGGGGAACAATGCAGGCCTCCATTTTGTCCATCAATATTTAATAAAGTCAAACTTATACTGTTTGGATCAACAGTTTATTACTCATAATAAACTACTGAGAGTGTGGAACGCATGCTGAAATAAATGCTCATTTCCTCAGAATTAGGAATTGTATATATAGTCCTTACTTGCACATATGGACATCATTTAATGATGCACTTTTTAGTTCCTATATCTAATATGGGGTAGCCAAAGAATAGCTCTTGAAAAGTCTGTACATAAGTTGTACCCAGTTTGTGACAGTTTGTCTGCATCTATGTGCAGAATTAAACATTTGACATTCCAAGTGCAAGCATCACTTTTCAGGCAGCTGTGATCATATATATATGCTAAAAGATTACCCCTGCATTTGGCAGAATAAGGATGTTGCCCTACATAGCAAGAGCAGACATTTCAAATGTTTTTCCCCTTCATTCAATAAATGTATGCTGAGAACCACGCCTAAGTTGCGCTCAACACAATCTCACTATGAAGTATGTGGAGGATGCAATTCTATTCACACCCTGTTGGCAAGCTGCTGGACTAGATAGGCCTTTTGGTCTTACCCATTCCAACACGGATACATGAGGAAGGAAGGGACAACATGAACTTCTCAACAAAGAAATAACCCATCTGCTTTTTAGGATGTCTAGGGCATTAGACACATGTTCTTTTTGAATTAGAACTGCTAGAGTTTATCTACCCCAAACATAAACTGCTTATTTCTAAAGAAAATTAAAGGTGTTTCAACATAAGGATTTTAACTTCATGGGACTTTTTCTTCCTGAGTCCAAGGGCTGCCCAACTTAGAAGAGTCCTAATAGATTTACATAATTAAGTCATTTGAATTTAATTTTTGTTGCTACTCTGTTCTCTGTCCTATTTTCCTGTTAGTGGCATCCAAAACAAACTTTTGTAGAATGCATATAAAGTGTGATATAGTAATTAAATGTTACTAGCCAGGACTGGAGCAACCCAAGTTCAAATCTCCTTTCAGACATGATGATCACTGTGTCTTCGACATTTTTTTCCCTCAGCCGAAGCTACCTCACGAAGTTATTGTGAAGATAAAACAAGGATGGGCTAGGATAGGAGCTCCGTATGCCTCCTTGAGAAATTATATATGTTAATAATATAATAATAAAATAATAAGATGTCATAAAATATCATGTAGTACTGTTACAACTTACTTTGTAAATTCATCCTTGAACATGTGGTCTCCTGTTGATTGACTGCACATTTATATATGTCTCCCATTCTATTTTTTGGATATCCACTCCAAGGTGAAGCAACAAGTAACCTGAAAAACAAACACACTGTTATGTTCAGGAAACTCAGTTGGGTGATGCCATTCTAAAACCAGTATCTGAAGAGAGAACCTCATAATACTACAGTATTGACCTGTAAGGTAGTTTCTGGGCCCTTTCCCCCAACGCTAGTGTTTCTAGTGTATGGTCTGAAGGCACATAAAGCATCTACCATGTTGAAGCTAAGCAGGTCTGGGGCTGGCCTAAGCTTGGAGGTGAGACCACTTTGGAACCGCATGTAGCTACCTTGAGTTCTGCAGTGGGAGAAAGGTGGGATAAATAAAATAAACACTGGCAATGTGTGAAGTGTTGTAAGGAAAAATAGTGATCTCAGCTTTGGGAGAATGGTGGACAAAATAATTAAGAACTTATCTCCAGTGATTCATGGGGCTGGAAAAAACATTGGGTATTTGGCATTAACCAGAGTATCAGTACTTGATTAAACTGATGTCACTGTACAAAACATACTGGGCTGTACATTTCCCTGCCATCAGCAGAATGCTGATGCTTCCTCAAAGGTTCTGCAATCAGTTTTCCTAAAATATGCACAAATAATAAACTAGTGAAGCCAAGGGGCCAGAAACAAACAAAAACCATGGCGTGAGACCCAAGAGCTACAAGCTCCTGAAATGAGACCTGCGAGTTTCTTTGCTTTTTTCTGTCATTCCCTCTCTAGATGCCCAACGAGGAAAGCAGGGCATAAATCTAACAAATGAATAAGGCAATTCAAACCATGAAGCAAGCTCCCAGGAAGGGGGTGGGATTAGCTGGAGAGATTCCAATATCTTTCTGTGTGTGACAGGGTGGAAGGTTACACCAGTAGTGTCCCTGCAGGCAGGAGGCTACAAGGGTGGGCATTTCTGATCCTGCTCTCCTTTTTGCCCTTCTCTTGAGGAGAATACAGTTCCAGGTAGAAAGAGGATTCTCAGAAATTGTACGAGTTTCTGATGTTGAATTCCTGCACTGATTCTACCACACCCTTACAACATACAAAGGGTGCATTCCTGCAGTCAGGAAATATACAAATTCAACTGTACAAGTCGGAGCAGCTCCAATAACCGCAAAACAAAATGCTGGCAAAGAGCCCGCTCAGACTCCAGCTGCCCGGAAGTGTCTTCTCTGTTCATTCTAGCTCTACACCTCACAAAAGCAGGGGGGGGTGGTGCTTAAAGGAGAGCATGCTGTGGAGATTCCAACAGCAGGAAACAAGCTAGGTCTACAGGACCCACTGAAACTCAGAGCTACACTAAATGTTGTTATTTCCTCGTTTATTTGATTTATCTCCCACTTTTTAAAACAATGAACTCAAAGCAGCTTACATAATTCTCATCTTCCTGCTCTCAATCTTTTCTCCACAACAGCAACCCTGTGAGGTAGGTCGCACTGAGAGTCTGTGATCTGCCCAAAGGCACCCAGTTGGCCCCAGAGCCAAAGTTACTTATGTTGCCTGAATCCCTGTCCCATGCTCCTCCACCTAAACTACTCCACCACACTGTCTCCAATACTGCAGTGTAAGAAAGCAGAACAACCAAACTGCAGCTTGCATTTCGATGTTGTTATGACACTTACGAAGTTCAGTTGCCAAATAAAATACCTTAAGGTCACCGCTGGTGTATTAGCCATCAAGAAGAATGTCTGCATTCACCCAGACTGTCAAAGGACACAGAAAAAGACAGTGCATTGTGGACACCAGACTATAGGAGATGGTGGAATACACCTACCAACACATTCCAAATCTGGTTTTTGCATAGTGTTTTCTCGTCCCAATGCATTTTTTTCTTGGTACTTCCAGAATATGTGCACATGATCAGCTTACCACAGACTCACAACCAGGCTTTTTCAACTACTTTTTCATATAGACTCTACGCACCCAACAATAATGTTAATACAGTCCTAACTGATTACTTTGGAGCCAAGAAGGCTGATTTTAAAAAGAGAAGGGACACCCAACACGAGAACCGGACTTAGACTTATGCAATAGGATTTTCCTTTTCCTGAAACATTACCCCCTCCCCTCCCCCAGCACACATACACAAAATCTGCTCTGAAGGGTTCTCCATTGGAGGGAGCAGAAAAAAATCCCTTTCACCAACAAATGGGCATTCCACCAAAAAATATGTTATTTACATACTTCAAAATTAATGTTAGTGTTTGATGATGCATCTAAAGTGTGCCTATGTTTTCTTCTAGAATGTGAGCAAGCTCAAGCATTTATTTCAAGAAAAAGCTTGCTTTTCTTGAAAGCCTCTCAAGTACATGCAGAGTATTATTATTCCAACCTGGTCATGTCAATGAGATAATTAAATGTCTGGAGCCATTCTGGAATGATGGGTTCTGTTTATGGAAGGTAGCTGCAGTATATTATTCACACAGATACCCAGAAGTGAAAATAGCCAAGAACTAAAACAAAATAACCGTTTTGTTCCCTATTCAATTGTTTTGAATATGTGATAGGTTAATGCCATGTTCTTTCCACTACCACTGTCCTGCATCTCCTTAAAGCTTGCTGCATACTTATATGCAACTGACAGCAGGGTGATACTTCACTCCACACTGTGGTTACAGGAAGTTTGTATGTTTCTGTGATTGTTTTTCTTACAAAGGGGGTGCAATGTCTTCTCCAGGACTTGTGGTGAGAAGTTATGATTGGCTGTTAATCCTCTGCACATCTTTGTTACCTGTTTGGATATGTCCCTCTTCCTGCTCATGTTTTTATGAGTTTTAGAAGCAAAAGCCTATGAAAAATTCAAGGAAGATGGATGGGCACGCTGGGAGTTAGAAGGTTTTTGCTTCCAAAATTTGCATAGGACTGCACCCTCTGATAGCAATAAATATCACTGTAGTCCTACTATGGTATCAAGTATGATATAATAAAAATGTGCAGGGCCAACAGTATTTTGCACATATCGTAAGATTCTGTTATCTGTGAGTTGCTCCGGGTGCTGCCGGAATCAATGCTATGCAACTACATTTCTGTCCCCAACTTTAATGGCTTCAACTTCTTTATTCTCTGACTAAAGTATCTGGGCATGTCTTACTCAGGCATGCAAACCATTGTTACCATTTCATTTATTCAGATAGGTTGTGCTTGGGAACCCTGTTTGGAAACCCTGTTCTATCCTGCAAGAAATACAAACTGAATACTGATTTCTGCTGGCCTCCAAAACACTACCAGGAAGGCACCTGCTCTTCCTCTCTTAAAACAAAGAAAAGGAACATAACATGCATTGAAAATCACCCTGAAGAAAGTGTGACTTTAAGAATTAAAAAAGGTTTGCATGTTGATTTCAAAATATATGCATAAAGGAATAAGTGAAGTGAAGCAAAGTAGAAATGATATCAAAAAGAATATGGAAACATCTATTACAGCTATCCAATACAGAAGCTAAAAATGTCTGTCTGTCTGTCTCAGTCTCTCTCACATCCACACCCACACAGAGCATATCTATGAAGTCAATAAAGAATAGAACTTTCTACATGTTTACTTTGTACTGCTGTTCCTATGAATGGCTTATTCTTCCTGCACAAAACTGTGACTAAACGTAAATACTCCTACGGAGAACTATTAGTCAGCTTTCTAAACATCCTCTCAGTTATTCTTGCCAAGGATCTAATCTTTACTGAACTAAAAACTACAGACACAATTACTAATATGCGGCAGACTGGGAGAGAGCAGATCAAACACATGAATTATCTGTGAAATCTCAGTTACGACACTGCTCAGAAACAAAAAGAGGTAAAGTCTTTTGTTGAAACACAAGAAGAATTGCCTAACAAGCTGTTCAACAATGGAATAGGCTGAACTGGAAGGTGCTGCGTTCTCCCTTGTTAAAGACTGGACAGCCACCGTTCAAGAGAACTGTAATTAGACACCCTTCCACCTCTATGATTCTACATCCTTTGCAAGCTACAATTCATGCATTCTATTTAATTATTATATTGCTACACCACTGTAGAGCTGAATCTCTCTTGTTAATACTTTTGTTTTTTTAAATAAAATAAATTTATGGGATGAATTTCTTAGACAGTCTTCTTACAAAGTGTCTGAGGGCCCACTGAATACTTTGAATATGGGGGAAGAATCTGACCCCATTTTTATTCCCTGCCAGAAAGAACTGTCTTTCTGAGGTTGGGAATGCGACCTTGGAGAGAGGGTTTTTTTGGTGGGTGGGGAGCAGAATGGATAGGTCAGGAGATGATCTGACTTGGGGCATCTTCAGCCTCTGTCCCTCCCCGCTGAAATTAATCACATCTAGATGATACTGTCTGAATTAATTTCTGAGTTAATTTCAATACTAATTGTTCTACAAACAGAAAACAGTGAGCAGATAAGCAAAAGCAGTGATCTAACAAGGTGACCTTAGGGCATGATCCTATTCACATTTGGAAGAAAGTTGGACAATGCCCAGTGTTCCCAAGCCAGCAACACTGGTTGAGCATGCTGGTCACTGCAGGCTTTGTTCCCTAGCTAAACATGGATTGGGCTGGGGCTTTTGATGTTTTAATTCAAGGAAGTCTGTCTTTTCAAAATATTGTTCTCAAAACAAAACAAGCTAGGAACATCAGCCATTACTGGGGAAATGTTCTAGTAGTTTTTGTGACAAAATGCTTAACATGTTGGTCTCTCTTCTTAAAAACTGCAAGTATTCTGCCTTTGGACTCACTAAATCTATTAGTCTACTTTTATGCTCCACAAAGTGACTGAAGAGCGTGCTTACTCACTGCAAGATTGTGGAGCAGGATCTTTTTTGACTCCTCCATAGAGTGGTTCCCTAAGAACTACACAGAAGTGAAATCCTGTACATATTAAGCAGGGAATGAGTCCTCAGTTAGACTTACTTCTGAGCAAGGATTTATTTAAAGCGTTTTTATCCAGACCTTCAGCTAAAACAGGGTCCCAGGGCAATAAGGTAGCCCATACCCCAGGCACAAAACAGACATAACACAAAGGGGATTGGGACAGAGGAGTAAAAGGAAACTTGGGCAGCAGCACTTAGTTACTAAGCTCTTAAAAGCCTTTATTCTGGCAGGGAGGAGAGAAACAACCCTCTTGCAGCTGTGCCTTCCCTGGCTCATGGACTGGTTCTTCCACACAGTTTTTTCTGGGAGGCAGGAAGCGCCTGTGGCTCTTTAGTCCCAGGACAACATGCACAGATGTGGACATATGTCCATGAAGCTGGGGTAGTTTGTAACCATTGCTGAAGTTTTACATGGGAATTTTGATTTTGTTTCAAGATGGTGGAAGACCAAACCAGTACTGGATGCAGCAGGAGGCAAAGTAAATGTGGGACTGTACTGGAGCCAGGAGGTAGAACTAAACCTGGATGAGGGAACTGAAACTGGTGCCAGAGCCTTTGAACGGCTCTGTGGCATAAGCGAAGTTAAAGCATGCCTTGTAATTTCAGATGATACCTGCCCAATATTCACCCTCCTTAGCAGGAACCAGTGAAAGCAGTTAAAACTCTAGCACAGTCTTCCCCAACCCAGGTCCATCGAGATGTTGTGCCCTATAAGTTCTATTGGCCAGGATAGCTGGCACTCCAAACATTGAGGAGAGACCCAAGTTAGGGAGGCTATGAAGAGGAAATATTAGCCCTCTCTTCATGCTTAAAGCATTGAGAAGAGGCAGCAGGTTCATGTAGTTCCTGCTACCATCTCCTCCTCCAAGCCATCCAAGTGTCACATATGACTTGAGGACCATTTCAGGGTTAGTTCCAGTTACGTTTTAAATTTTACCTCCCCGGGAGTGGTTGAGGTCCAATCGGTGCAGGTGTTCAAGGATAGGCTGGACGTCCACATGGTGGGCATGTCGTGAGCAGAGCCGGCTGGTGCCGGAGGTCAGACTAGATGGCCCGGGAGACCCCTTCTGACTCGCGCTGTTTTCTATGTTTCTATCATGCAATGACCCTGCCTCGTTCATGGAATTTCCTGGCTGCGTGGATGTCCCTTTCTCACTGTCTTCCACTTGTCACCTTCCCATGGTCCTCCTGACAGTTCTCCTCTATTTTTGCTTTCCATAAATAATCAGTTAAGGAGGAGGTGATGACAGGACAGCTGCACAATGGCATCAGCTCCGTCACACTCATTGCCCCCTGTCTGGATACGCTTCAGGTCAAAAGGCATTTCTGCACCAGAGTGGAAAGGCTGGGGGAGCAAGTACACGACCCTGCATGCTCCTCCCATCCTTTAAACATGGATAAGGGTGATCTCACATTAAGCCCGTATATAAGATGAATCAGTGAAAGCTCAAAGTACATGCTCCCTGATGGTACAGACTTCCTCTTACATGACAAATTTCATCAAGGTGCTGTAATTAGGATTTTAATTCATCCCGAGTTCAAAATAAGGACAAGACAGAAAGTCAAACAGAAACAGAAGGTCCTGTGAGTCTCCTGAGAACATACTACTGGTTTAAAACAACAGCCTGAAGATAAAGGTCATGTGAAGAAACCGTCATAGCTACAACATAGGCTCCCTTAGTTTTCTCCCCACAATATTATTATGCTATTATTTATTTCATTTCTACCCAGCCTCACTGCCAAAGTTCTCTGGGCAGTTTAAAAAAATCCAAAGGATGTGTGAGGAGTGGGATTTGAACCCACACTGCCATTTGGAGAGCAGAACACCTAGAAACTGGAAAGTCCTTAGTCTGATGCCTTAGAGCATTCAGCTATCCTGACACCGATAAGCACTAATTGCCCCCAAGGGGATTTGAACTCACAGACACAGGCATGGCAGCCTGGGCCCTTTCCCCGGCCATTCTAGCTACTATGAATGATGCACAGAAGTGCTTACCATTTCCCTTCTTCATTTAAAAGCTGCTTCACTGTGTATCCAAATTGCTCACTCGAGGGTCCAGAAAATACTTTTACTCCTTGGAGCCCAACATTGTACGCTTCGCAGCAGTTTTGCAGGATGCCTATTAAGAAGAAGAGTAAGATTACCATAAAAGTAATTAAGCAAAGAACTTGATGTGCTCTCTTCATGCCAATTCTACTCAGTAGCTAATTTATATGTCACCATGGATGGGAATTTCTATCTTTCCATTGCAACTGTGCAACTGTGATTTTGTAACAAAATCCAGTATCTTGACTTAATTTTTGTTAAGGTGTCTAGCCCATTAGGTGAAGCAGAGAGACTTAAAGTGGGAAAATGGGAGGCTACCATACTGGGTCACACTAGCCCACTCTTGTCTCTTTTTGCCGGTGGTGACTCCCCAGGGTCTCAGGTGGGAGTCAAACTTCCACATGCAGGGCATGTGCTATGCCGCCAAGCAATGCTTCCCTCACCTTTCGGAAGAAAATATGTATTTGCAGCAAGTTCTCAGCTTAATTTCTAGAGGACAAGGAAGATGGCTTCAATGTATCACTCTTTAGCTTCCCATGATCAGCAAAAACAGGATAAATTGCACCAAAAAAACAAATGTATTTTTAGATTGGCATAACTAACACAGGTCACAGAATTCAATTTCTATTCTTAGGTGCCAATTCTGAGTCACATTGCTATGCAATATTGTATTTTAAGTCTCTCCCCCAGCTACAACTATATACATTGCCTTCAAACTGTTCAATACAATAAGACTTTAGCACTACATACTGTGTAGCTGCTTTTTCAGTAATGCTTATGAATTCTAATCAGCATTATATAGACAACCCTCCCCCCATCCCTGTCAAATAAAAGCAGATTGTGGAGATGATAGCCTTAAATTTCTTTCTTTATAGTTCAAATGGTTAAAAGTAGAATGATAATAGTTTTTAGAGGAAAATGGCTTTACCCTTATCATTACTGTCTAAATCTACTGTTATTTTGCTAGAACAAGGAGTTAATCAGAGGATCTTCTGAGAAACTTCCTGATTTACTTGGCATGGCCATATAATAACTTTTTACATTTTGGTTCAGCACTTTAGTACAAGCTAAGGCAAGAGGAAGTAGGTTCACAAACTTAATCCGTTCCAGGACTCTGGTCGCAACCCAAGTTAAATTTCCCCATAAGCTTCAATGTAAATAAGGTTAATACATTCTGTAACCATTTTTATCACAAAAATTTGAAACAAAGTGACAAAGAACAACAAAGTAACAAAGAACAACAAAGATCGCAGCCATCTCCCCCTACCCAACACGACTGCAAGCACCCATCTTCCCTGTCACCCAATGCAGAGTTCATGACCTGAGGCAAAATTGTTATGAAATTTCTGTTTGCGACCCAATTTGGCCGTGAAATGAGGCATCCATGAGCTGGGGTACCACTGTAATGCCTCCAAATAGCTTTCAGAACATACAAGCAGACACACTGGTATCCCTTGTCTTAGTTCTAATTCCAGGTATATGGGAAAGGCACTAGTCTGTACAGTGGTACCTGGGCTCACGAATGCCTCAGTTCTCAACCAAATAGGATTGCAAACAGAAATTTTATAAAAATTTTGCCGCAGGTGGTGCATCGGGTGATGATCATGAGCCCGCCTGCCTTCCCTGCACCGGCGCAATCGCGTCGTGCTGTGGGGGTGGGGGGAGATGGCCGCGTTTGTGCTGGAGGGGGGGAAGATGGCCTCAATTGTGCCCGTGTTCCCTGGCTGAGCACATCCGCACATGACTCCCCGCCAGTGTGCCCACGATTGCACCCGTCTCCCCCACACACCTCGCACGATCTTTGTCATGTTCACATTTTTCTGATTTAAAAAAAAAATAGTTACAGAACAGATTAACCTTATTTACATTGAACTTCATGGGAAAATTTGACTTGGCTCATGGCCAATTTGGGTCACAACCAGAGTCCTGGAACGGATTAAGTTCGTGAGCCAAGGTACCACTGTATACTTATTTATTTCCTCCAAGGAGCTCAAGGTGAGGTATATAATCCTCCTATCTATTTTATCCTCTTAGAATCATAGAACAGCAGAGTTGGAAGGGGCCATAAAGACCATCGGGTCCAACCCCCTGCTGTTGCAGGACACCAAGTTACACCATTTCACTTAGATGGCTGTCCAGTTTCCTTTTGAATGTCTCCAGTGTGGGAGAGCCCACCACCTCTCTAGGCAGCTGGTTCCACTCTTGTACTGCTCTGACAGTGAGGAAGATTTTCCTGATGTCCAGCCTGAATCTGGGTTGCTGCAACTTGAACTGATTATTATGTGTCCTACGCTCTGGCATGAGCAAGAAGAGATCTTGACCTTCTTCTTTGTGAAGGTCACAACAAGCTCACAACAAGCTAGCAAGGTTGGTGAGACTAAGAGTCAATGACTGGCCTAAACTCACCCAGTGGGCAGGGACTTGAACATGGGTCTCCCCAATTCCAGTGAAACTTTCTAGCCACACTTGCTCTCTATTTTATTATTTACTCATCTATTTCACAGCTTAGCTCTGTCATTGAAAACAAATCCCCAGTGCTGATGGGTTTGAATTAAACTCTGCCTGTGAAATTACTGAAAATCAATTTACAGGATAAAGGATCTGAATAAGTAACAAGATGAGTCCAAAAGAGTGTGTGTTATCTTAATGGAAAGTATAATAGCAATGTTGGGAGATGAAAAAATACATACACATTCCAGCCTTCCACCTGGTGCTCTCCAGATGTTTTGACCTTGAACTCCCATTAGCCGCAGCCAGAATGACCAGTGGTCATTAATGCTGCAAGCTGTATTCCCAAACAGCGGCAACACATTGCGAAAGTCTGACATCTTCTAAACCTCAATGAAATACTTTGTGTATGAAAACATGATACCTCTGAACTCACAAAGCAATCTAATCACTTCTTGGTACTCCCCACACATATCTGAGTCTGATTATTATCTCTACGGAATATCATGCAACATCCACGCACAATTCTGCTGTTACTCATGCAGCATATATGTCTCCCCACCCACCTTTTACACATATACAAACCCATGTTCATATGAGTAAATCTAGTATCTCTTGAACAAGTGTAGGTTTATCCTTGGCTGCTACCTCTCTCCCCAACTCCAATCATAATTCACATGTTTGACTCAGAATGGGAGCGCCCATGCATTTATGTACAGTTAGTCCCTCGGTTAAGAATAACCTGTACTTACGAATGCATAGACTGCCATAAAACCTATATGGCTATCTCTAGGGAAAAAAACATAACCATCGCTAGGGAATAACATAACACATTTTCACTCCAAAAAAGAGGTGCTCAAAATAGCTTACAATTTATAAATGTATAAAAATAGTAACTGATCATAAACACATCAATAGGCTAAAAGGAGCAGCAAATTCATATACCTGCATACACATGCAAAATCTAAATATTTATTTTATATATCTCCAAACTACAGGCATTCAGGCTGCAGTGAAAGCAGACTGTTGCAGAAAATCAAATCCTCAATCCTTCCCACTCCAACACTATAATTTTAAACCAATTTTTCATAGGATTTTCTATTTCTACCTGATACACACCATTTTGTACAACATCTTTAAGGGTTAGTCTTAGCATCACTGGATGGGCTTCATTAATACTCCTAACTGGCTTCAATTCATCTGGTGTAAAAAGGAAGGATAACATTGGGCTGGAACTGATGACCTTATTGGCCCCTTCCAACTGTGTTATTCTATGATTGTATAATCATTCTACCAGACAGGCTGCTGAAAATAAGCAAGACTGTAAAAAAATGTTTTCACAGCAGACGGTATTATGCACAAACCATTAACAGCAAATGGCAGTTCTCCTTCACAGAATGAAAACTGAGCCCTATTAACACAAAGTACCTCACATGTCTTCACTGCTCTGCATGTTTCAGGGACAGAACAGAAAGAGAGAAAGCTATATGGATTCCACTGGCCTTAAGAAGTAGCCATTAGAGGAGGGTTCCCAGTGCAGTGCCTACAGGCACCTCCAATGCTACCAGCAGAACAGTTCCTAATGTGATGCCAGCAGACACCCATTTTCCCCCATTTTTTAAAATACACATACAGTGGTACCTTGGCTCATGAACGTCTCAGTTCACGACCAAATCGGGTCGCAAACAAAAATTTCATCAAAAAATTGACTTAGGTCATGAACTCAGCATTGGGTGGTGGCCACAATCGCAGCCATCTCCCTCCCGCCCCCAAGTGATCATGCTGGAGGCAGCGGAAAGATGGCCGAGATCGCACCCGTCTTTCCTGCAGGCGCGCACCCGTGATGGTGCCCATCTTTCCTGCATGAGTGCAACTGCGATCTTGGTTGTCTCCCTCCCCCCAGCATGATCGCGTCTGTCTTCCCCCGAGCATGCCTGCGTTTGCGCCTGTCTCTCCCCCTCCCAGCACATTCGCATTCGTGCACATCTCCCCCCCCCCCGAGTGCACAGGGTGGTGAGGAGATGGCCATCGTCTTTGTTGTTCTTTGTTACTTTGCTTTACATTTTTCTGATTAAAAAAATAGTTACAGTACGGATTAACTTTATTTACACTGAACCTTATGGGGAAATTTAACTTGGCTCATGACCAATTTGGGTCACGGCCAGAGTCCTGGAACAGATTAAGTTCGTGAGCCAAGGTACCACTGTACTTGCATTTGTATGAAATATATACAACGGCAATCAACTTTCTAGCAGTAATACATATGATTTAACTAAAGCAGACTAAATATTTGAAGATCCGTTTGAAAGTGGCATCTAAATGCTATCTGTTCGAACATGGAAAAGCTTTGTTAAGGCCCTCAGTCTATTGCATTATAGGAAGTGAGTGTTCATTCTTCTACTGTTGTAATAACAGTCTTTATTATGACATTGCATTTATAGCCAGCATTTTTCCTCCTGTGAAGAACCAAGGCAGCTTACATAGTCCACCTTTCCATTTTACCTGCAGCACAACCTGACCCTGACCCTGACCCTGTCAGGATGCCCATTGCTAGGTTAGGGTGAGAGTGACCGACTGGCCCAGAGTCACCCAGTGTCGTGCCCAACGACTCAGAGGAGGCATTAG